AACTAGGCTTAGATCTACTTTGAAATTGTCGGGAAGTACTGATAGGGACCCGCTGTTGAATAACTTGCTGATTCTCTGCTTTCAAATGCAATAGTGTTGAGCAAGCATGAAAACCTTGAAGAAGAAGGGCTACTGAAAGGTTTGGTTTTCCTGATGTATCACCTATGTCGTGCAAAGGTTTAGCTACCAGACAGATATTGTTGAAGGCACTCTCAGAAAAGAATTGCCTTGACATCTCTGTATTAGGCGAGTATTTAACAAAAAACTACCACAATTCATGGAACTATGCCTAAAAACTACCACTTTACAAATTTGTGCGGAAAACTACCACTTTTGTTCTAATCCTTGCCTAAAAACTACCAAGTCAGAAAAGTGGCCGATTCAGATTGTTTAAGCGTGATTATAACAGGGCTGGGCCCACCCGTCGGGCCTGAAAATTCAACCCCGTTACTTTGAGTGTTAACATGTGGGGTCCACCCGTCAGTTCTTTCTTCTTCCTCTAAAATTCCCCACAGCTCAGACCCGCCCGCGCCACCCGCAGCTTCGCCCAGCCCGTGCCACCCGCCGCTCTGCCCCGCCGGCAGGCGGCCCCGCCACCTGTGCCGCCCTCCCTCCTAGCCGAGCCGCCTGCTTGCCTCAACCATGGCGGCCGCCATCGTGCCAAGGTCGCACAACTCACCGCTCGGGCCCGCCCGCGCCACCCATCGCTCCGCCTAGCCCACGCCACCCGCCAAGCTGCCCCGCCGGACGGTGAGCCCCGCCACCTGCGCCGCCCTTCCTCCTAGCCGAGCCGCCTGCTCGCCTCGACCATGGCGGCTGCCATCGTGCCAAGACCGCACCACCCGCCGCTCGGGCCCGCCAGCGCCACCCGTCGATCCACCCAGCCCGCGCCACCCGCCGCTCTGCCCCACCGACCGGCGAGCCCCGCCACCTGCGCCGCCCTCTCTCCTAGCCGAGCGGCCTGCTCACCGTCATGGCCAGGTCGCGGAGGCCAGCGCACAGCCATGGCCAGCTCGCCCGGAATGGAAGCTCGCGCAGAGGCCAGCTTCGAGCGCGGCGGTCGCCGGCGAGCTCGCCCGGCGACGCGGAGTCCAGCTAGCGCGGCGGCTAGCTTGCTCGGCGGCAGCTCGCCCACAGCCGGCCCGGCGACACTACGCATACAAAGTGTTTGTAGAAATGTCCCAGTGAACATGTGGGTCCCATCTGTCATAACGGTCAACATAACGGTCAATCTAGCAGGGTTGACTATTATTATCATGTCAATGCTTATGTGTGGGCCAGCCCTGTCATAATCACACTTAAACGAGTCGAATCGGCCACTTTTCTGACTTGGTAGTTTTTGAGCAAAGATTAGAACAAAAGTGGTAGTTTTCCGCACAAATTTGTAAAGTGGTAGTTTTTAGGCATGGTTCCACGAATTGTGGTAGTTTTTTGTTAAATACTCGTACTAGGCAGACCAAGCATTCATAGGAAATGCCAATTTTGAAAGGTCTTCGCTGAGCCATGTTTTTAAAGGTCTATCAGATACAGGCAATCAAGAAATTACCATAGTTTTGATTGTATGCCTACTCCAAAATTTTATATTATACTTCCTCCGTCCCATAATATAAGAACGTTTTTGACATTACACTAGTGTCAAAAACGTTCTTATATCATGGGACGGAGGGAGTATCTATTTAGTATTGTAGTTGTTGATATGTTTTCCTATAAACATAATCAAACATGCGGGGAAGGGGCTCGAGGACGAGAAACTCGATGGAAACATGTCCAGGGGGCTACAGGAGCTCGAGGTGGTGCTACTGGAGCAGTCAGGCCGGGCTCCGGGACATGGAAACGACAACCAATTTTGGCGGGGCAGCCATGAACCCAAGCCGAGGAAGGAGGAAGAGGGCGTCGGCTAAGGGGTGTCTCTGTGCAATTGAAGGAGCTGGTGGTTGTAGGGGAGCGAGGCGGAGCTGTAGGACATGGCTGTGAGGTGGTAGAAGGACATTTCTTAAGATGTTGACATGTGTGTCACATATCTCATAACATCCAAATGGAGTTGATTTTTATGTCACATCAGCCCTGACAGATGGGCCACTCCTATCATAAATGCATTTGAATATGCCGCAACCCTCGACCACAGCAGTTGCAACCTGGTGTACGTGCACGCAGACAACTGCATTGCATCGAAGCACACCGATGCAAGCCAACCACATCCCTATCCTCACTCTACCTCTAGACCAGGACATAGGCCGGCAATCAACCATTGTTGGAGGGGGAGGCATGCTGCGTAAGATAGCCACTAGTGTTGCAGGGCTGCCGATGACATGCTTTTCGATGACGGTGCTAGAAGCTCTGCCGCATGTTGCTGCATGGGGTGACCACGGCTGCTGCAAAGGTCGTCGTGTTGATGATGCAAGGATCCTCGCCGACAGAACACGGGCGGTGACGTGGCCATCTAGCATGCGGTGCTGCGACCGAAGATACATGGTGTAACAAGTGCAAGCGTGTACTACTACAAGCCGCGTGAGGCGGTAGTGTTGTGTTTGTAAACGACATACACTGTAACCAAGGGTTGCCGTGTTGCGAACGAGAGTGTAAACTTCTACAAGCGGCGATCGGTGCTACTGCGAGGCTTTGTGACAGAGCTGCGAGTAGTGCAGCGAGGCCGCATGATGGCGAGTTGGCGATGCTGTGAGACCATGGTCTCGTGTTACAAGACCGCTAAGCAATGTTGTAGGGCCGCCTCGCGGCTCTGGGGCAGTGGGAGATAGAAGAAGTTTTTTTACTGTGATCCAATGGTGCAAAACAACCCGATATGATGGCACGACACTCTCGGTAGCATGCAATCGGTCCACTGATGCAATGCGCTCACCATGTTAAAATGCAAACATAATCATTAAATAACTAAATACAATACCACTTAAGCCATCATTCGTTTACAGGGATTTTATATGAATTTTAAAGGATGTGAATTTTGTAGGATAAACTTCTTTGGAGCCCTTTGGTTTGTAGGAATGGATTCCTATTCCTATGTAGGATAGACACCAAGCCTTCACATTTCTTAGAAAAAATAATAGGCATTTTTTGGTTTGTAACAGACTCTAATAGGATAGGATTTTTAAAGGAAAAATTCATTCGAAGCCCTTTGGTTTGTATGAATGGATTCTTATTCTTATGTAGGGTAGGAACCAATTCTTTATATTTCGAAGGAAGAAGAATTAACTAGACTTAATGGAAAAAAATTCTTATCCTACCTCTTGCGCTATAAGAATTGAGATACATGTCATTTTCTATGATTTTTCTATTCATATGATATTCCTACTCTATGAACCAAATAAAGCATGTCAATGGAAAAATTCTTATCCTATACGGCCTTGCGCAACGCAAGGTGCTTATGAAGGTGTTTAGTAAAATAAATCGAGTTTTTCTTAAGCACCATCGCTTATCTTACATTCTTAAAAAGTTGGTCCCAATTCTCTTAACATGCAAAGTGTCCACATCAACGTCCCACTAAGCAATGCATTTAAGTCTTCTCTCTCACTAAGCCTTGCAAAATATGTCACATAAGTACCAATTCTCTCAACATGCAAAGTGTCCACCTCAACGTCCACTAAGCAATGCATTTAAGTTTTCTCTCACACTAAGTCATGCAAAATCTACCACATAAACGAGTCTTGCATTTAACTTCTAAATTACAATATTCTTTTCACTAGTCTATGCATGTAACGCTGACATACCATATATTCATGTTAGTCATCCTTCACATCTTTGTTCGAAATGACCCTTTTAACTGTAATTAAATAATATCCTATTTTTAAACACTTTCTTTTCTTGATTTTCAAGTGTATACTTTCTTTTCATTAGATTTAGCAACTACTTATGCATTTTTTTAACAAAGTTACCGCAGTAACACGCGGAGAGAGAGTCATCCTCAATACTCATGTCCAATTTTTCCTTAATTAAAAAGACACCGCGTGGACAACTTCAAGGAATTTTAAACTCACGTTATGCTACTTATGTTTCAAAACAATTTTGCAACAATAAACTAATCAAGTATAATAAATTTCATATAGTTGTATTTCATGCTCATAATGTTAATTGTAATATTCAAGTTCCAATAAGCAAGTATCATCTAAACATATTGCCAACCATTCCCGTAGCAACGCGCGGGGAATTGTCTAGTTTGTATAATAGGGGTGCTTAATTAAGCGTCTACCCTATAAAAATAGGGGCACAGATGCTTAAGAAAAGACTGGTTTATTTCTATAAGCATATTGCATTGTACAAGGCCTAAATCAATCAATCAAGTGACATCTCTTTCTCTAAAGAAATTGAGATATATTTCTATATTTTTTCTATTTTTATGACATTGTTATTCCTATTATTATTATTAACCAAAAGGCCTTAAATTACAACACGCACACATAAGAACCAATGCATTGGAGTTCCCTAATCCAAAAAGGACACCTTTTTGGGGAAATGATTAGAATCAACTGCCCAATTCTACGTCTTGTTTTCGCTGCGTCGAGAGCACAACCACCTGTCGGATCAGTCCCACACACCGCAAGACTCAGTATTTTGCATATCGCCCATATTTCTGAGACATGGGAAATGTTGCAGTGGCAACACGACAGTGTGACGATGTAGGCGGAAAATTTCTACAACATAACCCCCGTTACCAAAAAAATCTGCATCACAATCCCTGTTACAAATATTTTGCAAAAGTGGTTTATACAACGGAACCCTATGTTGCAAAATTGACAAAGGAGAGAAGGACGCTTGGCGAGGTTATGCTAGATCTAACAGCTCGCGAGAGGGCGGATGGCTGACCCGTAGCACGTTTCATCTTTTCTTTTTCTTTTTTATTATTATTAGATAAAATAAATTTATAGAAGGCCAAAAGTTCGACGCGGACGACAACAGCGGATTCCCCTGCTCCCGCTTAACTCGCCGCCTGGCACGGCGAGACCCCTCTCCTACGTCGTCGGCACCGAGGGCCTCACCGGAGCGGGCCCATGGAGCTCCAGCGCACGAGCACGACACAGCAGCCCCTGCCGGAACTCGACGCTCCTCCTCCTGCAAGTACGTATCCCTCTCCGCAACCCAGTTCCTCTGTTTTATTTCCGCCCACGCGCCGTCGAGCGATGCTTTGTCTACCAAATCTAGGTTTCTTCCCCGCCTCCGGCGCTCGGCCGCGGCAGTGAACTGCCCCTCCGCTGAGCTCCACTAAATTGTGTTCGCGTTGCCGGGCTTCAGCTCTACTCTACCAGACGCTTCCTTAGCACCTGAGCATCCCTCCACCTCTACCAGTTTCAGCCGTCCTAAATCCGGCTACTCGGGAGTTGCTTCGGTGTGCAGCGACTTGGGCCAGTCCCTTCCGGCAGTTCTACATAGATGCGATTGTGTGCCGCCACACCCGAGGGCATCGATGAACTGCAGAATATTACTGGCTGTGGGGAAAAAAAGTTGCTCTTCTCCTTGGATAGTGGGCTATCCGATCGATTTAGATTATGCAAGGAACTGAGATAGATTCAGCTTAAAAATTTGGAAAAACACTGCAAGTACATCTGAGTTGGTGCTTTAAGAGATAAAAAAACAATTTCAACAGATTGCAGATTATCTTTTGTAATCATGCTTTGTGTTTTATCTCTTCTTTTGAGCAATTATTATGTCCCGAGATTTCCTTGCGTTCACATGCAAAACTTTAATGGCATGATGGATCTGCAAAATTTGATATTAATGTGCCCAAGTGCTCTGCAGAGAGGGGGCGGAGAGCTTCATCAGCTGAAACAAAGGCTCAACCCTGCGGAGAAGGTGACTTTTGTCAAGATGCCACAAAAACGAAACAAGACTTTGAGCTTGACAAACTTCCTGAGGTATGGGTTGCAAATAACTCCATGGTTATTTTTACTTCTGGTGCTGCATGCATTTGGGGTTTGGGCGCAGCACTCAGATGTACACCACTTATTATTGATCAACAATCTTGTGCATGGTAAATTCGCTAACAACAATTAAATGAACTTATGTGCTATTTTATCTTCCATGCAGGTTTTGATGCAACACACATGCTTCAATTAACACTATATATAGTTTTGTTGTTAATTCCAAGTGAAGTCAGTGTTAGTGCTAGCTATATCCTAACTACTAAACTTGTCAACAATGCTACTGCAGGACATGCTACATCATATACATTCCCTCATGCCTGTATTAGACGCTGGTCGTGCTGCCTGTGTGTCTAGACGATTTCTGGGTTCATGGAGATGCTACTCGAACCTCACACTCAACATACAAACACTATGGTCGCCTGGCGATAAATTTGAGGGAAGTGAAATGTATTTCATCAACAAAGTTGACAAAATTCTTAGTAACTATTCTGACAATGGGATGAAGGTGAAGACACTAAAACTTAATCTTTGGCATTGTAGCAGTGTGAGTGCCTCCGACCTAGGCCGGTGGCTCAGAATTGCTGTCAAATCTGGGATCAAAGAACTTTGCTTGTCGCTGTCTCCTTGCATGAAGGAAAAGTACTGCTTCCCATGTTCGGTTTTATTTGATGAGGCGGTTACGAGTTGGATCGAGTCCCTCTATATCTCCAACTGCACTTTTCATCCCATAGAAACACTTGGCTGCTTTAGAAGATTGAAAAGTTTAGTTCTGTGCGGTGTTCGCATTACTGAGGAGGGACTACGACAGTTGCTCCCAAAATCTTTCAGCTTAGAATGGTTGGAGATCTTTTCGTGCAATGAGATAATTTGCTTGAAGATACCTTGTACACTGCAGAAGCTCAAGCTCCTCAAGGTTGGAAGGTGTCGAAAGATTCAGGTGATAGAGATCAGTGCCCCAAATCTCTCCGCTTTTCACCATTATGGGTTCCCGCCAGAGATCTATATTGAAGATTCTTCCCAGCTTACGGAAGTATATTTTTCATCTTTATATCCGTCCGGAATTCTCTCTTACGGTCGTGCAAAGCTTCCATCTATCGCCAGCAATGTTGAGAGGCTTACCCTGGTGTTCTGCGGTGAGGTATGTTTTGGGTACATTTTGAGAAAATTATATTTAGAGGTATCAGTAGACTAGCGTGTAGTGGTTATATTGAGTAACAGACTTTGTTCTTCAGAATGTCAACACTCCAATGCTTCCTGAAAAGCTCCACCACCTCAAGACTTTGGAGTTTGAACTTCACGGCTCAGGAGCCTGCTCCCCTGTCTATGATATCTTCTCTCTGGTTTCTTTTCTTGATGCTTCTCCTGCCTTGGAATCTTTGATCTTGCGTGTAAGTCACTATTCATGTCTTCTTGAGCTATATATACTATCCATGGAAAACCTGGGAGCATATCTTTCATCTTTTAACTATTGGTTATCAAAGAACAATGATATTGATGATGATGTAGAACAATGATATTAATGTTGATGCTACATCATCATTTGCAGGTAGGACGAAACGCCATAGTAGATCATTGTGATGCTGGGGACGATGTATACCTAAAGGGGAAATCAGCATGCCAGCATGACCGCCTCAAACGGGTGACGATCACGGGCTTCTGTTCAGCCAAGAGCCTGATTAAGCTTGTGATCAGCATCCTTGAGAGCGCTCCTTCACTCGAGCGCCTCACGCTGGATACGACACCGCGTGGCTGCGGTAGGAAGCTTGGCGATACTAGCATATGCACTGCCGCAAAATACAGGAGTAAATGCTGTTGGATAAGCAAGAGATCCCTCAAAGAGTCTAACAGAGCTGTTGAGGCTGCAGGTAGATACATCGCAGGGAGAGTTCCATCGGCTGTTGAATTTGAGGTCCTTAGCCCTTTAGGCAATGCCATACTGGCAACCCGGTAGATGATGTGTTGAATAAAAGTTAGTTCACTTAACTCTCGAGTTTGTAGCTTGGCTCATTTGACCCTCAACTATGAATTGTATGCATACACGTGTGACCCTCCAAAGTTTCAAAACCAATGCGCATAGCCTGGGTTATGTGCCGTGGTTTTGAAAGATTTGCAGGGTCTGATGTCCGCAGCATGCCCCCACCCCGTGTAACCTTTAACAGTTATGTTCTCTCATGGCCTTTAGCTTCAGACGTCATAATGTCGTGCCATAACCTTGATTTGTGTCAACATGCATTGCATAGAGGAGGTGGGAGATGCCAATTGACTATCTTTAACCTACTAAAGGAATAGGCATAGCATACTTGCATATTCCATCTTAGCATTTTTTTTTTCTTGCATGCTCATTCTATGGATTGTTTTTCCCTTGGTTTTTCAGTAACCCAAAGCTGAACCCTTATGCGGTTATATCATTGAGATACATGACAAAGAATCAATAAGAGCTTCCACTTCCAGAAGGAAATGTTTTGTGCTCCCAATTTTGTTCTCAAGCATAGCGACGACAATAAGTGACATTACCACGAGCTAGTGTTGTGTAGGCCATATGTGCAGGCTTTCTAACTTCTCTGTTCATCATATGTGGATATTCTCGTGCTTCAGCAAAGAAAATTTTCTACAGTACATTTTATGAGCTTTCCATTTTAAAAAAATTTGCAAGATGGTATATACTTAGTATCCAATGGCATTACTCTGGATGTAAAATCTGTCTTCTTTCTTATAGTACTCCCTCCGTCCTAATATTCTTGTCTTAGATTTGTCTAGATACAGATGTATCTAACACTAAAATGTAACTAGGTACATCCGTATTTAGACAAATCTAAGACAAGAATTTTGAGACGAAGGGAATAGTATTAAGATGAGAGCACCTTCATGAGCTTTGGCAATACATGAGGAACTCTGTACTCTTTCTCTGCTACCCTATATATTGCGCTCATACTTTGGCCAGTAGAGGCGTCAATAATACATGCTTACGATGAAGTTATGCCAAATGTTAACTAAATTATAAAGATTAAAATCCAAATTCTCTCATCCAAACACCACTTAACTCAAGCCTCAGCTGGAAAAAGCCTAGTCGGAAACCAAAGCCCTCAACTAAGACCTGACGGTGCAGGGGTCTCCAACGCCAGCCGCGCCACCGTCTGATCTCTAATTTTGTACACACAGGAATTGAGGAAGTCCTCCTCAATATTATGGATCACACTCCGCTTGCTCATGAAGTAGATGCAATATTCCTGAGCTCCGCCGCCGACAGATTGACCACCAAGAGATCAGCCTTGGCTGACAAACAGAGCATGCCCCTTCAATGTACCGACCTCGCTCCACCATCCGTGGCTGCTGCTCAGCAGTGGCGGATCTAGAACTTGACCAATCGTGGGGCAACATTACAAAGAATAGCATTTTTTGTCGAAACACATTAAAAATAGTTAATAAAATGGTGAATATACATATGAATGCACTAGTAAAAAAAGTTCTACAAATTGTTTGTGGGGGCCATGGCTCCCATCACCCCAACCCTAGATCCGCCACTGCTCAGGTCAGCTGCCTGGAACTGGAAGACCTTGAAGCACTGCGATGGCGTGGGCGAGTCGATGGGATACGGATGAAATCCGTCCCACCGGCAGCAAGACCACGAACAAATTAGGAAATCATTGTTGCTCATCTAGCCAATCCCCTGTCCTAAAAATTTAATTTTATCAAATCTTCAAAACGATCACTCAAACAATTGTAACCAATCGATCACATTTCACACAAACACAAACAATTTGAATGCATAACATTATAGTTCAACTACGAGCATAAATATAGTTCATCGAATCCATCTAACATAACCATAATTTGTGCCAAAAACCACCGAATAAGCATGTCCGTCCACCCCCTCGGTTCTCTCGTTTGGGTATATGTATATGGCATTGACATCACAATGTCATTGAGCCCAAGTGTGTATCTTGCATTCAATTCATCCATGAAAGGGGTGGCATCATCATTCAATTGCTCACTACAAACGTAAAGGAAAACCTAGCAATCAGTATTTAATCATGCATCACTTTGCGAAGCAATTGCAAACAAATCGGCCACATCCACCTCGTCCAAAATTAAACAAATCATGCATCCGTTTGTGAAGATTTTTTTTACCTTGCGGGCATTTCCTCGAGCATGTCGTCGCCACTCGTGGTATCAGCTGACTCCACCTTGTCCTCGACCGCCGGAGGTGGAGGGGATGGTAGTGCGGCTGTAGGAGGCCGCATAGTACTTGCTGACACTGCGACGGGTCGAGGAGGAAGCGTCGAGGCCACTATGGTCTTCTTTATCTTTGTCGTCGCTGTGGTGTTATCGGTCAACACCGAATAAGCAAGTTAGTCCACCATCGATGGCTGACGGGCCCTTTTTCGTTCGGCTTGGGCAAGGGTGATACGGTCGTTGCGGCAGAGCGACTGCTGACAAACACCAGTGACGATGTGCTACCGAAGATGTTCCTTCCTTGCCGCTACTGTTCCTGTGGTACCGCCGCCAAATTCGTGGTTGTCGGTGAGTCTCTGGTGTCGGTAATGGTGTCCATGGGTGCGGCGGGGGATGGCCTTTCCATTCAGCCGGTCATCAGGGAAGGGGGCGGTCAGCGACGAGGACATGGACGGCGATATCGGGGTGGGTAGGGAGGTTGTGAGCAAGCGTGAGGCAGCATGGCTTCTGGTCAGACCACCCTGAACAAACATATTTTGCTCAAATATAACTTTTAGGGGGTCCGCTAGAGATGTTGCTCTCCTGCATGGCCCATAACCCCCTAGATTCCTCGCTTAGTATAATAGATTCCAAGGCGGGAGTAAGGTTTTTACCCAGGACTAGGGGGCAAACCAAGGTAAACTTTATCGCCTTGTATTCTTGATACCCACATGGCATGAGGTGAAGTTTCCATGACTACTCCTATGTCTCGACGAAAACCTCCTCGGTAGCTGGTTCCAACCATGTGGGTAAAATGCCACCAGATCAGATCTATGTCTCCATCTTCAACATCGGACAGCAAGGCATCGCTACCAGCAGTTCGACGAAAGGTCTTGGATGATAGGGATCTCGGGGGCTGACCACGTTAGATCAATAGTCGTCCGGTCGTGCTATTGGCCCAACCAATTCTAGAATCCCAACCTGGCAGAAGCCGAACGGGTCGGTCGCGAGCAAGGCAAGGAGACTCTTGGTGTTCATCATGTTAAGCTTGGGGATGAGGCTTCGCCCCTATAAAGACCATCTGGTGTTGCAAGTTCGAGAACAAATGAGGGTGTGTACAATGCTTCTATCTTAGAAGTGCCACATAGGATAAATACAGAGGTGGAGGAGAGTGGAGTGAGAAGAAAAGGCTTGCCTTTTCTTAATTATAAGAGATGATTTCTTAGCACAATATCTCTCATCAGATATTTAGAGACATCTGATTATAAAAAAAATAGACTAAGAGATAATCCTTTGTACATCAATTTTTATTATCATCTCTAGATTACGTTGCAGATCTAAGCTAAGACTGCATTATCACCTTGTACATGTTCTACATGGCTGGACCATGACCCCCTGGCGATCCCCATTGCTTGATTTACTTTTTCAAAATTTCAAGGAGTGCCCACCACATTGCTATATCTTAGATCTATAGATATAATAATGTCTTCCTTATTTATTTATGTTCGCTTGATTGAATTTATAATTCAACTGAAACCTTATGTTTTGGAAAAGCGCACATTATTGTATCTTTTCAATACGGTCAAATTATGTTATTTGAGCCTAGTTAATAGTTTAGTTTTTGGATGCTAAAATATCTTTATGCAAAGTGTAATGTTTTTTTGCAGGGATATGCGAATGTTATCTGAGCATGATATGGTAAAAGGAAGATGCAAAATGTGGCCAAATCAACCAGCGAGTGCAGAGATGTGTTGTCCCAGGTGTCTGATTGTTAGGATACTTATCACCAATGTTTTCGAGTCGATGAGTCGACGAGTCGCTCAGGGGGGGCGACTCTAGACTAGTCTAGACTAGTCTAGACTCATGGTCGATGAGTCGACATGGCGACGAGTCGACCTGAGTTAAGCAGCAGCCAGGGGAGGAGCACAAGTGCTCAACAGCAGCAGCAGCAACAAGGGGAAGGGCACACCAGCAGCCACATCAACCAGGGGAGGAGGGGAGGAGCACAACAGCAGGAACAACAACCAGGGGAGGGGAGGAGCACAGTAGCAAGGGAGGAGGGGAGGAGCACACCATAGGAGGGGAGGAGCAGAACAGCAGCAGGGGCAACCAGGGGTGGCGGCTGGAGAGGGTTCGATCGGGGGAGGGGGTGGGGGATGATCGATCTAGGTTTCCAGGGGAGATGGGCCGGCCCATATAACAGTTGGGCTCAATTTAAGTGAGTCGCTCGACCCAGAAAGAGCGACTAGTCGTGACTAGTCGAGACTAGTCGCTCGACTCATGCCAGGAGTCGAGTCGAGAGTTTGAGTCGAACCTGGAGCAGCGACTCATCGACTAGTCGTCGACTAGTCGCGACTAGTCGAACGACTCGAAAACAGAGCTTATCACACTATCAAAGATATATCCGAATTCTGCAAGACTAGTATTTTTCAGCATACTCCAGGCATTCGTGAATTGCTTATATCCGTAGTAATAAACACGTTGCAGCCAATTCATCATCGATGATAACACTGGTAACCGTACCCAACGCTGACATGTCTACATAGAACTAGAGGACGCGACAATCACCGCTAAGACGACAAAAGAAAGTGGGATTTTCTCTCCTAAAAACTCTTCATCCCTTCTCCTATGAAAGTGTACTACAGGCTCTTTGTACAAACAGGCGCCGCCGCCATAATATATAATCGCTAACTATACAATTGGTGTGCAACATTTTCAGATGATATCGAAACATTCCATCCACTGCATCGGTGTTGTGAATGATCGACAGCACTGGGTCACCTCTGCGGCTGGGTGCGAGAACGCAAACCAGGTGCATTCAGGGAGGGCATCAGCAGTGATATGTCACCCTCAGGCGGTCAACCGGGTGTCGGCTTTATCTTTTGATGTCCTCTCTTCCTGTATCTCCTCCAGTTCATCGCCCTCGCTCCGCTTGCCTGCTTGCTCCTTCCAATAAGAAATCAACTTCTTCAACCGCATGATTTCTTTGGGGGAAACGTGCTTGCTCGTGTCGTTAACAATGCAACGTACTCGTGAAGCATACCTTCAGCAGTCAAAAACAATGTCAGTGAACAGCTGCACTGCAAATTCAAAACAATGGAACAAAAAAAAATATCACAGAAGCTATGCACATGATGCAGGATATCAAGCATGCAATGCAAGAAAATTCAGTTAGTTTTCCTATCTGCAGAACAATCTGAGGGATACAGTCAACGACGGCAATGAAAAAGAAATGCAAAGAGTAAATAAGTAATGGGAATCCGTACATGAGTGAGTTGTAAGTCTCCTCCAAGTTTGATTCCGCTGGTGAAACATTCACAAACATTAAGGTTTTTGCGTTGCCTCCAAGTGAATCACTCATAAGCATCGTCAACTTGTGGTTCCGATATGGTATATGTTGTCCATCAGAAGATAAAGCACCAATAACATCAGCCAATGCAGAAAGGGATTTATTGATGCTCTGTGCTTCTTTTAATTGTTTTCCTGCTGAACCGGACTTTTTCACCCTCTCGGAACCAGCAAGATCCACAAAACTTAGCTGTTAAGGAATGCCAATATCAGCAATTTACTAAGAAAAAATAAATTAATGCATATTGCAGAACTAACTTTCTAGTAAATTAATTATTTCAAATGAAACAATAATTTGATTATGAGCTAGACTAATTAGGCAAGCCTAACGAGACGACATTTTCTGAAAAAAAAAACGAATTCCATTTGACTAGAAATGGTGAGTGCAAAGACAAAACATATAGGAGAGCAGAAGTTTGTTCTTTTGTGTTCTTTTGGGGAAACAAATGTCATAATCACGAGGACTATAAGCTAAGCAAATTGAGCCTTAGCAATTATGGTAGTTAAAATATGTCTACATAAGAGTAGTTTTCTAGTTTTATTCCCAAGTGTTTTTTTTTTTGCGGGGTTTTATTCCCAAGTGTTTGCCAATCTGAATCAAGTGAAAGATCTGACTATTTTTTACAGCACGCATACATAGTTCTATAAATGTAAGAAGTGTTCACAATTGAAGGTAGACTGTCAGAACATGCAAATCTCTCGTAAGAATAACGGATCAAAAAAAGAGCTAGGACTCAACAAAAATTATGTGAACTTTTCAAGTTCATCCTGTCATACCTTTCCTCTTGCATAAGATTGAGTTTGGAGATTGGTGCTTTCAATAATTATTGAAAGGATTAAATGAGATCTTGAGCTCTCATCATTCATATTTGTTCCAGCGGTGTGTCTTCTCTCAGAACCTCTTGTGATTATAGTTTTCAATTCTTCAAAACTTGAAATGCTTACAGTTGTAACATTTTCAACAGTAACAACACCCTAGAAAGAAAAGCACAAGTTAACTAGGTGCGCAGAAATATAAACATCTACCGTTCATGGAAGAAATGCTTCACATGTTAACAAAGGGAAGTGACTCCACACTCTACACTTCCCAAAATAATTGTGCAGGTGGAGATGATGAGTCTATTACTCTCGAATCATAGTTATTTAGAATGGTGCAGCTTTATTATGGAGGCATATGAAAATAGTCATCATTACCAAGGAGTGGTCTATTATCTAAAAAATGATAAAATTGTCTGCTCTTGATCTAGTACAAAAGTAAACCAAGATAGCAAAAAATACTCCGTAGTAATACCTCCAAGAGGTGCTGCTCAAAAGTCAAAAGCACACAAGAAAAATCAAACAGGGAAACTTGTAACTTGTCTTACTGAAGAGCTACAAGAAAAAGTAAAATGTGCAAATAAAGAAGGATTATAGTATGACCATTAACTCTGGCGAGTTGTATGAAAAATGGGAAGTAAATGCAAAGAAGGAAAGAGCTTGTATACCTTGGAGTCCTTTTTTATTTCTAATTTTTGTCGCATAGCATTTTTGGGCAACAACAGGTCCACAAGATTATCTTGATAAAGTTCCACCATATATGCCTGGACGTTATATGATAATGATTAGTCAACAAAGGATAACTAAACAATGTGTAATGATCAACATTGGAGTGCCAACAGTGCAAATCATTTCATCAACATTGAAAATTATATTTGTAGAATAGTCCAGAAAGAAGAGATGTTCCAGGCCATATGGAACCATATAAAATGCACACGAAAATATTCCTTACCTTCAAGGAAAATGAATACTTGTTGCCATCACGCTTTATCACCCTAAAAAGTTCTGACGTGGCCCTTGGAGTAAGACCAGGATTGTTGTCCGAACCATATATTGTAAAAGTCTTCCCGGAACCAGTTTGACCATAAGCAAATATACAAACATTATATCCATCAACAGCTGATTGTACTAGATACTGCACCATGTTCAGCAAAAAAAACAGAGGTGAATAATCTCAGATACACAATTTAGATTACAACAAACAGAAAACCTAAATTTAGATATATTTTACCTTAGTGTCCTCGAATACATCTTCTTGAGTCGTATATGCATCAAAAACACGATCATATATATGTTGCTTTGACTTGTCATCTTTCCATGGATGTGCAATTGTAAATTCATCAGGACTGCATACAATATTCTTATCCTTTAAAGAAAGCTCCTTGTCATTTAGAGGACGCAAGCGGCAAAAAACTCTTATTTTTCCTTTCATATCTGTGAAGAGTTGCAGCTCAATTTATAATCAAGTTATTGGCAAAATATCAAATAACTACAGTTGTGTGAATACTTTTATTCTACCATACCTTCAATTGTGTTATAGTAACGTTTTCGCAAAACCTGTTCTTGCTTATAAAGACTTTCAAGCTCAACCAACTGTGCTCCTTGCCTTTTAAGAATCTCAGCGGTCTGTTGGTTCTTTCTGTCCACATCCTGAAGAGATGCACAATGGAAGTATGTGAATTTCTATAGAACCTAAAAGAGACTGAATGTGGATATTATGTGTTGCACATACCGCTTTAAACTCTCTTAACTCATCAAGCTCTTTGAGAGTATTTTGCAATGTATCCACCTCAGTATTTCTCAAGGCAAGAGTTGATTCAGCAACATTTAATGACTGTGTTGTACTTTCCAATTTTTGCTCCAGTGTAGCTGTATGAGCTTTTAACTTACGACATTCATCCTCATAAACTCTTTGCATTGTACTTTTCTACATAGTTAAAGTAATAATATTTTCAGAATATGAAGTGAATAAAGTATTCGCTGCAAGACCAGCAAATGGAAGAGGAAATGTTTGATGATTAAACAAAAAACCTCTTCACTTTTTGCTCTCTCGAGCCTTTGAATCCTCTGTTCGAGCATATTCCTTTCCATTATTAACTTCTTTGATACTTCTTTTGATGCAGCAAGCTCTTTTTGACATGATTTCAACTCCTCCTCGAGCTTCGTCAACATCTTTCCAAACACAAGATAAACAAATGAACTATGAAATATTTGCAACCATAAGTTTGGCCACAGAAGTTAGAAGCAGACCGTATCATGCAAAACTCAACCCTAATGTACATGATTGTTGTAAAATACCTCAATGCCACTGTTGACGCTGCCTACAGTAGTCAAAGTATCTCTTTCACAATGATTTCCAGATAAGTTTACTTTAGTATTGTTCTCTTGGCCCTGACCATTTGTTAATTTGGTCTCCAGTCTATTTTTCTCCACCAATGCAACCTAATAAAATTGCAAGTTAGATGATCCAAACAATTTAGCTAACAAATCGCGTATCACCATACCTGCAAAGAAGATTCCTTTTCATCACATAGGGATTTTAGCCTGTCCCGCTCGCTTGTTACTTCTTTAATGATATGTCGTTCAGATTGTAAGGTATCTCTTAGCCCTTCCAATTCTTCTTGCATCTCCCTTTCTTGTTGTGTCTTCCTCTGTAACTCATCCCGCAACTAACAATAAAAAGGGCCATTATGTACTTAGATGGCCAGTTATGTAAAAGATAATGCCATTTTCTCCAATATGTTGCAAGACAAAAGTTATATATTCCAAAAACATCAGCTAACTGGAATTTTAGTCTTTCTTCATGAAAGAAGTCATGTAAACTGAAAATTGCAGATACACTTGGGCACATTACAAACTGGTGCATAGCTAGCCCAAAAATCCAAATTTTATTAGTTATCATCCTTTTGACCTACTAGCGGTTTGTTACATTTTTCAATCCAATTGCAATGAAATGATCTAGATTTCAATGTAGCAGTGTAAACTCACCTCGTCTGCTTTCTTCTGAGACTCATCAACTACTTTTGACAGTTCTTGGACACGTTTGTCGTGCATTTCAGCATTTGGTAGCTTATCTGCTTGAGAAACATCATTCTGAGAAACCGTGCTAGTAGCAGAGCCAGACCGTGCTTTTGAATATCTGCGGAGCATCACATCATTTATATGTGTTTGAAGTGCTACACATATTTCTTCACCCTAGAAATATAAATACTTGGTTATTTTGACCCAGTTGACAGCTTTATGAGATTATGCTGATGTACTATCTCCTGTGAGGGTTCAAAATACCTGCTTAGTTTCAAACTGAAAGATATGTAGGACACCAGCAACTCGCATCTTAAAGAAAACAGCAGTATTGCTGCTCCCAAACTGCATTATGTCTCTCAGCTCTGCAGAATGTAGGTATTCCTTAGGAACCGGACGAAAAAAATGGACCTGTGTTAAAGCAGAATTACAATATTAGCTTCAATTAGGAGAAGAGATATACCATTTTCATCATATGAAAAAGTATCTTACCCCTCGTTTGTTGATTCCCAAAATGATTCTTCCAGGTAAAAGTCCTATTGGGTCATCAATTTTCCGAACGCTGAAGAAAACTGAATTGCCGTATGGAAGAGTTCGTAAGATTCTGAGAAACTGGTTCCTTGCATCATCTTTTGACAAGTGTTCCTGGATGCAACAGTGAAGTACTTAGGTAATTGAGGTATTGCATGTGCTTGCCAATGTAGATTCAGATCTTGGAATTTTTCATTTCACCAGGGCATGCATCAAAATTAATTCCTTCAGAAATTCTCAAATAACTAAAATTTAAAACAATATCGCTTTCTTACGAGTTAGTACAATCTGTGATGCATCACAAATACACTCACTGTTATGATTAGTGTAGGACATGGAGATGAACAAGAAACATGTGTTGAAAATAAAGTGCACAAATTTGTGTGATGTGATGCATCTACAGTTGATACTCAATAGCATAAAGTTGCACAGCTAGATGAATACCATTAACTGATAGCGTGAGATGATGTCGAGCTCCCAGTCTCTCTTTGCTCTAGTAATTGCAACTTGTCTAGGTAGAAACCTCTCTAGAAGAGATATCCATTCACTAGCAAAAAGAAAAATGGCATCTCAGAAAGAAATACAATGAATTATTATTAAGACAAGACTATGGAAAAGTGAAATAAGAGATCGTAGAGCCTTATAAATTACATACACGCAGGACTCAGGATTGTCGATGAATCCAATCTCGACCAATATTTGCAGGGCAGTGAGTTGTGCAGCATCATCCCTGCCTACTGGGTAGTTGCCTAGAATATAATCATGTTGTAACTGCAGAAGAAGGATATTAGTAAGTGCTATGTAGGAAACTAAATTACCTGCATAGCCTAGAAACTGTAAGCACTTCAACTGGCTATGCAACCCAATACCTGGACATATGATAGCTGAACGAACATCGGATCAGTCACAGCCTCATCAGACTCACGAAAGAGGCGTTTCTTAAATACAAGTTTGCAGTGCAAAATTTCTCCTTTGTTGCGATCCTTAGATGACTTGAATTCAGATAGCAAGTCCCCGATGTACTTGTTATCGTCTAACCCAATGTATTCTTCTGCATG